CCTTTCTCACCCAGGTTGCAATGGAGCAACCCAACCGTTGTGCCAAGGCCACCTTTTCATTCAATTAAGAGAGAAACAAACAATTAAATAAGACCCCACATCTATTTGTTTTCAAAGAAAAACTTAGTTGACATGCCAATCAGAAATTAAGAAAAATAACAAGGGTAGACAACTTTCACCAATTAACTTTTCAAATTCAAGAAAGTACGCATTCAAGAATGAGATCATGTAGACTAACTATTTACCCACTAAAGAGGATGCTAAAAATGGCAGATAGCCACATGCAAAAAAAGGCAGTAATAACAGTCTTGCTTGTCTATGTTGAGAAATATATTGTATTTGGGTTTTCTTTCAGGGAGAGTGTTGGAGGTTACAAGGGTATATTTGTAATATCGATAAATTTTGGGGACTTGTATGCAAGGTTCAAAGTATCAATACGTATCAGGCCGTATCGGGGGCTTCTCGATACCCCCCTACAGGGGGTGTTTTGGGATCCTGACCGATTCAGAGGGTAGATGGACCTTAAACCGGTCCCTCTGAAGCAGATTTGAAAAAACTAAAAAAATCAAAAAAAGCTACCGATACACCAATACCGGCATATCAGGTTTATTGATATTTTGAACCTTGATTGTATGTATTTATGGGAGGAAGAGGGCCTGTGTGTTATTCTGATATAATTTGGTCTCTTGCTTATTTAGGCCATTGGTTGTGTGGGATTAGGGTTGAGTGACTGAGGGCATTTGTTGTGAATTTGTAGAGAGGTCAGTCTTGTATCTCTTCTTCTCATAGTGAATGTTTTCTCTCTCTCCTTTGAATATAGGCTACCGAGATGAACCACGTTAAATCTTTGTTCTTTCTCTCTTTCTTCTTCCTATTTTATTCTTGGTTTACCATTCTCTTGCTGATTGACATGGTATCAAAGTAGGCCACGACCTGATCTGCTTTCCTTGTTTTTTAAACTGCACATTGGTCTGAACATTCTACTGTGTTTGTGTTCATCTCTCTTTCTGCTCATGGAACTCTCTTAGGGTTGTTTTGATTAGCCCTAATTTGCTGAACATTGAAGCTGCACTACTAGTGAAGAAGACTATGGAAGTGTTGAAGAAGCTATGGTGGTGCCGACAGTGGTGGATATGGTAGTAACAACTTTGGCAGTGGAGGTGGCAGCAACGGTAGCTACAATAGTGGAGGTTCTGGTGGAAGTGGTGCTAGTGGCAGCTATGGCACTGGTGGTGGAAACTCTGGTGGCTATGGAAATGCCAGCAGTAGTGGAAATTATGGTGTCGTTGTGGTGTAGGTGTTGAGAGCATGTTAAAGCAGCTGACTGCTCATTAAAACAGTTGACTGCTGCAGTTAATGTTGACCACTACCGTTAACAGTTGACTACTATTGGTAAATGTGTTTTGCAAGTTGGAAAAAAAGGCTTTAATGCCCCATGTTGCAGTGCTTTGTGAGTTGGAAATAAGGCTTTGATGCCTCAAGTTGTGGTTATTTGTGAGTTGGTGGTGTGTTTCTAAGGTCCCTCTTCTCGACAGTTCGAAGAGGGGCAGCTTTGTGATGTCATGATTGGTTCTGTGATCAATACTCATTGTGTGGTGATTAGTGATGGTTTGTGATTTGGTGATAACTTTGTTGGTGAATGTGTGAAGCTCCTTTGGTATTCGAGAAAAGTCTTAGTGATGTGGTAGTTTTTGGTGCATTGGTAGACTGTTGGTGAGTGTGTGAAGCTTCCTTGGTGTTTGAGAAAAGTTTAGTGATGTGGTAGTTTGTGGTGTATTGGTGCACTGTTGCTTCAGGTTGGTGATTACTAGATCATGACTTTGCTTTACTCCGGCTTTCCGATATGAGTTAATTTCGCTTTCTAACATCGAACTTTGGTCTCTAAGAGGCCCCTTCAACATCTCAAGTTTCATGGTTGTTGCTTCAACAGCACATCTAATTTTCATGGAGGTTGCTTCAACATCCTTACTTGCAAACTCAAGCTAGTTTTCCCACCTTGAGTTTAAGGGGGCGTGTTAAGAAATATATTGCATTTGGTTGTATTCTCATAAACAGATTCAAGTAGTTTTCAAAATACGCAGCAGTATTGTTTGAGCGAAATTGCTTAATCTTCTTCCCAAACTGAGTTTCAATCATTTTATAAAATACCATGGTCATCTGTAGAACTCCATCACATCCTTTTAACAAGTAGATCCATGTGCGTCGTTAATAGTAATCAATAAATCTGATAAAATAACAAAAGCCATCTACAGAAATAAGGGGTTAAAGGGCTTCACACGTCAGAATGGACTAAATCAAAAGGAGCTTGAATTTCACTACTAGAAATTGGATAAAGATTTCTACATTGTTTTGGCAATTTACACACTTCACAAACCAAACTCTGACTCAAAACAAACTTAAACAACTCAGGAAACCATCCTTGCACCAAAGAAAAAGACAAATGACCTAGCCTAGCATGCCATAAATGTAACCTAACTACCGACTCCTCATTTTCCCAACCATTGACAGTAGATGATTGTAAGGCTGAACTGATGTCTACATCAAAGTAATAGAGACCTCCAAACTCATGACAACTCCCAATCATTCTCTCCGTCAATTTGTCCTGAAAACACAATAAGTAGGAAATAATGTTATGTTACAATTTAAGTTTTTTGTAAACTTAGAAACAGATAATTGATTTGAAGCAAGATTGGGAACATGAAGTACAAATTTAAGAGAGAGATCCTTGCCTAGGTTAACTTCCCCCTTTCCAGAGATGGTGGAGAAGGAACCATCAACTACTCTCATCTTATCTTGGCCAGACATCAGACGATAAGAAGAAAATAAAGAAGACATGTGTGTCATATGGTTAGTAGCACCGAAATCAATAATCTAAGAGTTAGACACTATAGGATCAGTCGAGTAGAAATAGTACTTGATTTGGCAAGAGAAGAGGATGCAAGTGGGTTGTTTTACAATCAAGCCATGGCTCGGCTAAGGATTTCTACTTCATTAGTTGTAAAATCTAAGAATGACCTAGATGTGTGGGAACTAGTGGTCTTCCCATTGGAGGAAGAACAACTGTGGGTGTATTCTTTTGGTTTTCAGCACTATTACTTATGACAACATTTCCACTTGCTATTTGGCTCTTATGAGGCTTCTTGTCCTTAATGCAGCTGGTTTCAGATGTGGGTAAAGATCCAAAAAGTCTCTTTTAAATGCTGTCACCTCCACAATGAGTGCACTTGAGATGCCTCTTGTCTGAATTCTTTCCCCCTTTTTTGGCTTGAGGAAATCAAGGCTGAATGCTCTACAGGCTACACTTTGGTGTCTACTTGCATCTCTTTTCTTCCAACTTCTTTGTTCCTTACAAGATAGTAAACATGTTGTAAATCCAGAAGCTCATTTCTTCCCAAAATTTGAGATCTTATACTTTCATATATTGGATCCAGGCCAGCCAAGAACTTAAAAGCCTTGTCTTCTTCTATCTGTTTGTCATGCCTCTCCTTATCTCTTGCATTCTCCCAGTCAAGAACAAGATGGTGGTCCAGTTCTTCCCATAATCCTTCCAAGGTTGCAAAATAAGTTGCAATAGACATATCCCCTTGCTCAATGCAACAATATCTTGTTTTAGTCTATAGATCCTTGCATTGTTTTTCCATTGTCCATAGGTTTTAAACACCTTCTCCCAAATCTTAAAGACTGTAGGGAAGTGAGAAGTCCTTGCAACCCTTGGAGTCATTGAAACAAGCAGCTAGGACATAACAATAGCATTCTCCTTGCACCAAATTGAGTACTCAGCATCATCTTCTTTAGGTTCCTTCTTCTTTCCATTTATATAACCCATAAGCTCCTAGGAAGTAATGAAGAGTTTGGCTGAAACAAACCATTCTCTGGAATTGTATTCATCCAAAAACACACTGGTGATTTGCAGACTATGCGGATTTGGATTTTCTAGGTTTGAGGATCTCCCACCAGTCCTATTTTCCTTAGAGGGTACCTCTCCTGATATTATGGACATGTTTGGCTCCTAACAGCAACCCACAACTGTTGTCTTTCAAAAAAACAAGGTTTAAAAAGCTGCTGAAGCTGTGACTGAACTGAAACTAATACCCTGCTGAACTGATAACAGTCCTGTTGACTGTAAGTCCTGTACCCTTCCCACACCCACCGGATGTTAGAAGAAGCTTCATAGACTGGGAAACCTTACAACTGGACTGAGAGCAACCCCAGAAACTAAATCTGGACTGAGAACACTTCCTGAAATCAGGTATGGACTGAAAGCAGCTTCTGTAGGACTGAGAACACTTACTGAATCTGTAGTCGAATCTTGACTGTGAACAGTTTCTGTAATCAGTTCTTTCTCTCAGGATGAAACTAGGACTCTCCACTCAGTCCTCTTCCTATATCTATTCTACACAGATCTCTCTAGTAGCTGAATGGCTACTGGCTGCTGTAGAAAAGCTAACAGGGCATACACAGGCTGGGGGAACTCTCTTTGGTCCTACAAAGAGAAACCCTAGACACAGACCTTTCTGTAGTCTATGGTCGGACCTAGGGCTTCTTCACAGTAGACAAAGAGGAAAAAAAAGAAAAAAAAAGAGAACAAAAGATGGAAGAAAAAGAAGGGAAACTAGAACCAGTCAATCAGGTTGATTGATGCTCTGATACCATGTTTGCTGAAATGGTGAAGTAGAAGAGCAAGAAGAGATGAGAGGAGAAGAGAGCTGTGTATGGGCGGCAATCTATCTCCAGCCAGCCCTAGAAACTAGTATATATATTAACATTAAGAAGATACAATAAAAGGACTAGAATGCCCCTGATTAGTGATGGGACACCTAGACATTACAAGAACAAAACCATTTTAGGCCCAATAACATAACAGTAAAACATAGAATGTTAAGCAGGCCCACTAACACTAAATCACTTGACACAACAAGTACAATATGATGCCTACTTTTATTCTTTTTCTTTTTTTTTTCCATTGTTTATCTATACAAATGTATGCTATTGATTTGCAGGACTCATTTTACCGCATGCTGAGTAAGGAAAAGTTAAAACAAGTTCATGAATATAACTTTGACCATCCTGGTAAAGATCTTGTAGCAACTCTAACCTTAAATTTTCCACTAAAACAAGTACATCTTACATTAATATCACATGTTATAAACTTATTGCAGTTTCTTCTTTCCAAAGTCTTTCCTGGACAATGGGCTATCTTAAAATGTTCACATTGTTTATCACAAAATGGATTTACAAGAGATTTCTTGTCAATTACACCATGTATTTGTTGTAAAGCTATTCATTTAATAAGAACTTAACCATTGTTAATGCAAAGAGGAACTTACTAGCTGTTACTCATGTTATAAGAAAGTGACAGCTAGCTTAGCTCATGAAATCTTTTTTGGAAATATGATATCCATATACTCATTTAAATCCATATTGTACCTTTGTACTGATTTATTCATAAATAAAAGTGGGACTTTTACTTGTAAGGCATTCCTTTATTGGCTATATTCATGTGTAATTATGGAGTCCATAGGTAACATTTTAGGACATTTAGGTGATGAGTGAGACTTATCATGGGAGATCTAGGTGACCTGATTCCATGTAAACCTAGAACATCTCAACTAAGGGTGAACATAGGTAGTTCACTTATAAGGTTGGCATATAGACAATTTCCATTATATGGTGTGGTGAGACTCCAATTTGTCATGTGGGTGTGTACTGGATGCACACTGATATTGATCCATCAGATTTATATGTCACTGCTAATGGAATGGATCACTTAGAGTCTCAAATGCAAAGTCTTTTTTTTCCCTTGGACTTGGAGAGTTCTCGGGAGTGTAGTGTCACAATCAATCACTTTGATGTACGATGGGTGAGGTTACTATTGGATTGTAACTGACATACTTTGTACGTTGGTAGGTTGAATATGATGTTATGGTTTTGAGAATGTCCAATAAGAGATTTTTACACCCTCAAACAAGAGGAGAGTGTCACAGCCAAAAAGTTACCTGCATTAGGACTCTGGCCAGGAATTCTAGTTGGACTAGGACTTTGGTAATGGAATCTTAATGAGAGTAGGACTCCTATATAAGTTTCAAGGCAACATCAGGATTCGTATGGGAATTGGGACTGTTGGGGAGCAATCCTAGTTGTACTAGAACTCTAGTATTATTATCCCAGAAGTATGGGAAGAGTCCTTGCAGTGCTAGGATTCATAGGAAAGTTTCCTAGGGCTTGTCTTGTAGTGTCCTGATTGAATTAGGAATCCTTGGTATACTCGGGTTGTCATATTCTAGCACATGCTCTAGAAATGTTTCTGAGTAAGTAGGAGATCTTCACATGGTTTCTTAGTCTGAGCAGAACTCTTGGATAAATCCCATTTCGATAATGGTTGGTTCAAACAATGATACGTGTGGTTTTCTAACTAGATTCTAACACTATTGTGTGGAGGGGTAGAATTGTATTCACCTTTGCATGAGAGGCCTAAATGATAATTTTCAAGGACTTAAGAGCAATTGCAAAGGAGTTGTTTGACCTGACTGCAATATTAAAAAGATGTTCTAATCTTTGACCACGCATTATAAAGAAAGAGATGGAGATTCCTATCTAAAGGTGGAGAGAAGTTATTCTTCTCTTGTTTTGACCAAAACTCTTAAGTATAGGAAACCTTAATTGGACCTCACACCCTGAATATGCCTACCTCTCTATATATAAGATATAGAGCTCTAGAAAAGCAATTGAACGAACCATAATAGAGTGGTGGATGAACTACATTGACTAGTGCCCAATAGATCTAGACTGGAGTGCTGTTAAAGCCATAGGCAAAGGGAGCAGTGTGATTTCAGTTAGAGGATATCATTGGGCAGGTGGATCATGATATTCAAGAAAGAATTCAGAGATATCTTTCAGGAAAAAACATGGGAATCTACTCTTCACAGGTGCGACTAGGTTAGAAAAATAAAATAGTCATATTCCCCATGCATATCTTGGGAAAATAGTGAAATCAATTTGTGTACTTCAATGCAACTTCTCTTTCAGTCTTGGGGATGTTGGACCCACTGAACTTGGGATTGAATCCTACCTTCATTAATTCTAACTACTGACAGCTAACCATTTACCAATTACACATCAAAAAATATTTCAGTTTATTATACTCCACCGCCACACCCCTCCCCCAATAAAAAGAAAAAGATTAGTGAATGTGTGTAATGCTTCTTCATACATAATTTATTAATCTAATTTCTTTGCAGACGCCTTCGACACAGATCTTTTACTTTCTTGCATGGAGAAACTAAAACGTGGGCAAGCAGTTACTGTTCCAAATTATGATTACAAGAGTCGTAGAAACAATACGTTACCACAACAAAAGGTACTAAATGCATTTAATGTACATGGATTTCTTTATTAAGTGATATTTCAGATATATTACTTTGGAGCCTTTTCTATACTTTTATTGGATATGCTATAATAATGAGTGCCAAAAGAGCTTAAGTTTAATTCTTGAAGATGGCTTGTTTATGTCATGCTATTGATAATGAATAGGAAAACTTGATTAACACCTATAACTTAAGGACTTTGCAACCTATAATGCTGGTAATTTTTCTTTTTATTTATTTTTGAAAATAATAATTCTGGCAATTTCTTATTATAACTAGACTTATTTTATGGATGCTCCAAGAATAGTTTTGACCTTGTTTTTCCCACAAAGTTGCATTTGTGCAACCAGAAACAACATTTTTAATCATATCATGCATGATCTGAAACTAGTGTCCAGAATAAGGTGATACAGTGAAGTTAGATCCCCCAGCATTTTCTTTAGTTTGAATACTGTGTATTTTTGTCACTGAAATAGTACCAACTTTTTTACTATAAGTATACTTCTCTGATTTCAGTCAATAATTTGTTTTTTGTTTCTTCAAATATGTAGGTTAACCCATCAGATGTTATTATCTTAGAAGGAATACTAGTTCTTCATGATTCTCGCGTCCGTGATCTGATGAACATGAAGATCTTTGTTGATACAGGTTATTTTCTTTCAGTTTCCTCAAGTTTGATATAACTAAAAGAGTGTATAGATTCATGAGTTTAACAAAATAGGGAACTACAATAAAGCTTCAATCAGTTAAAGAATTATGACCTTGTCTTTAATTATAAGTTAAGCAAGCATCATATCATGATAATTGGCAAAAAGATGGTACTGACCTTCTAATTTGTTATTTTGGTGAAGTCACAAAATGAATCATATAATAAAAAAATCATACTATTTGCAGGATTTTATGATAAAAAAATAAAATTATTAACTAACAGTTTTCAAGGTATCGCTTTCTTGTTTGTTACCCCCCTCTAACTTATTCTGGAAAATCTAAGTACTGTTGGGATTTTATTCAAAGTAACATTGGAGATACTTAAGCCAGAGACATCTGTGGGCACCGGAGAGTGACCCACTTCATGGCCTGGTTATTGGAGTTGCCACCCATCATAGTAGAGAAAAGGGAGTGATGGGACTCCCAGTGTTCAAATTAAACAACTTTTGATTTATGGTGACTCCGTCATCAAGATAAGGCAGTCTGGGTAAGCTGGGAAGGAGAGAGGGAAGGTGTTAGGCACCTCTATCCCCTGTTAGAGCGAATGCCATTTCCTCTGAGCCAAAATAAAAAGGCTGAATTCAATTAAACAAGTAGCAGTTTTTGAAATACTTAACGGTTGGTACAAGCAGAGTGAAAATGCTCTAGAAAACTCTATTCTGCTAGTAAATTTGATGATAGTTTGACCTAGCTTTCAGCTACCACCATTATTAAGTATTTATGCTTTTTTTTTGTTCGTTGGATTTCTAGTTTAACCACAGAATGCTTAACTAAAATTGATTTAATCTGAACTCATTTGGTATCATCTTCCTCGACTCCCAAGTATTTGTATTGGAAGCCAATAAGTGTAGCAATACCGGGTTCCCCCTTCATGCTTCTCTTGGACCCAATCAGCTACTGTTCATCGAATTAGGAGAGGGGCAGAGATTAGGTTGAGTTCGGATTCAAGAGTTAAAAGGTTCGGAAACTCATTGAAATTAGGGCACCATCCTCCTTCATACTTAGGGGAGGATGGGAGCCCTGATCTCAATCGCCCTAAACCCCTCTTGCAGTTCATTCCAGGTAGGGAAAATTCCCAATAGTACCCTGTACTTTGGGCCTAGTGCCACTTTGGTCCCCAAACTTTAAAACGTGACAATTCAGTACCCGAACTTTCAAAATGTGTCAATCCAGTACCTGTCGTTAACCAATCCGTTAACCAGCTGTTAAGTGACATTTGAAAAGACACAAATTCCCTTTGAGTGTCATCTAATTTTCTTTATCAACCATCATCCACATGTTGATAAAAATGATTAGTCTCAAATCCTTGCCTCTTCTATTCAAGAAAGTTGGGGTAATGTCTCAGTGGGCACTCTGGTGACCCCAACTTTCTTGAACAGAAGAGGCAAGGATTTGGGACTGTTCATTTTTTGTCAATGTTTGGATGGTTGATAAAGAGAATTAGATGACACCCGAAGGGTATTTGTGTCTTTTCAAATGGCACTTAATGGCTGGTTAATGGGCTGGTTAACGGGCTGGTTAAGGGTAGGTACTAGATTGGCATGTTTTGAATGTTTTGGGTACTAAGTTGTCGCGTTTTAAAGTTCAGGGATCAAAGTGGCACTAGATCCAAAGTACAGGATACTAATCTGGAATTTTCCTTTCCAGGTAACAACAAAAGAAAGAGGAAACGATGGATCTCCTCTCTGCAATGTCTTCTTCTGCAAGTTGCAATGTCAAGCTCTTCCTATCTTTCCTTATAGGGAAAGAACGAAGAAGAAGAAGCCCCTCCTTCCTTATAGGCTCAAAAGGGAAAAAGCCCCTCCTTCCCTTTTTGGCAAAAATGGGAAAAAGAGTTTGAATAAAAAAATAAGATTATGCTGATGTGGCAAGAGTATTAAGAGAGAGGGGGAAGGGGCCCATGTCTAGGGGTGGCAATGAGCCGAGCTGCTCGAGCTCAGCTTGGTTTCAACCGAGCTCAAGCTCAAGCTTGAGCCCAATTCACTGGCTCGATTATGAAATGAGCCAAGCTCAAGCCTACTAGAGCTCGACTCGCAAGTCGGCTCGGATATATATATATAATACAATAATATATATAATAAAAATATTATAATTCTTAATTTTTATAATTCTTATTTTTTTAAATATCAAATAAAAATTATTTTTATATATAAATTTTTATTTTTATAAAATATTTTTTCTCAAAATCGAGCTCGAGCCTCGTACTATTCGGCTCGGCTCAGCTCGAAACCACCCCTACTCGTATCCCTAGGCTGATTTGATGCCTTGGGTCCCCTCCACCATCCCCTATTTATAGGGTTCAACTTCAAGTAGGGGTAGTTTGGACATTTTTTATGTTTGTGGGGTAAAAAGGTCCAAAAGAAGTGAATTTTTGGGTATTTTAGGTATGAAGATGTGTAGGGGTATTTTGAGAGTTTTTAAGGGTAAAATGGTCCAAAATGTGTGGGTTTGGGGTATTTTGTGAAGGAAGGTGTTGTGAGGGCATTTTGGGTATTTTTAGGGTTTTCAGGGGTAAAAAGGTCCAAAATGTGTATGTTTGGGGGCATTCTGGAATGAAAGGTGTGGGGTACTTTGGGTATTTTGATGGTTTTCAGGGGTAAGAAGGTCCAAACGAGGTAAATTTGGGGGTATTCCGGGAGAAAAGGTATGTGGGAGTATTTTGGATATTTTGATGGTTTCCAGGGTAAAAAGGTCCAAATGAGGTAAATTTGGGGGTATTCTAGGAAGAAAGGTGTGTGGGGTATTTTGGGTATTTTGATGATTTTCAGGGGTAAAAAGGTCCAAATGAGGTAAATTTGGGGCATTCTGGGAAGGAAGATGTGCGACAGTGCGAGGGGTGTGCTGGTTATTTTGAAGTTTTGGAGGTGGTTCTAACAAAAGTTGTAACAAGGGAATATTCTGATCCAAGGGTAAGAAGCTTTTGGGTGGTCAGGATTTACTTAGGGAGGGTTGCTGTGTTGATGCTATATCATGAGAGAATTGTGCAAACAAATGACAGCTTGCGAAATAGAATCTTGCTTGGTTTGAAGGATAGGAATGGAGTTTTTAAGTGAGATTTGGTGGGGTGAGGTTTTTGAGGGTTCCGGACTCGTTAACGGGGTCAAATGGGGCTAAAAAGGAAACTTACTTCGATCAAGGGGAAAATGGCTGAGCATTGAGATGAAATTTGATAGGCGAGGGTTTTAGGGTACTTGGAGTCTCTAGGGGGTGTCGGATTAGTCGTGCAAGGTGTCTAAAATAGGATTTGCAAGTTACAGGGGGGAAGTATCCACTTTTTGGGTGCTGACAACATCCGAAACTTGATGGTACTGAATCAAATCAATCAGTTATAAATTAAGGTTAAAGGACAAAAGTGACCTTCTTAATCATGTAAAACACTGTAAGTTTTATGAGTCCAATTATGATACTGATTACTGAAAATGTTTGGCACCTAAAAAGTGATAACTAATCAACTGGTATCATCCAATTGGTAACCAATCATTTAGTATTCACTCAAATTCCCGTGGGTTTCTGATTGGATAAAGTTTTTTTTTTCAGGCACTATACCTTTTTGGTACCATAGAAATGGACAAGTTTTATAAGATAAAAATAATTTCAGATGAGCCCTAGAACCCAGTGACAAATATAATTAATAGGGAGCTCTTTACAATTTGTCCTATTTGTAAATTTTCTGGCAGTATAGATTTTTAACTAGAAACGCTTTTCGCTGTTTATATTATTTTTCTTGTATCAGCTAATTTATTAAACATTTGAGGTACTTTTTGCATGGGTTTCTCTAAGAAAGCTATAAAAATCATAAAGTAATCTTTGACATGACTTTTTGAATTTATAAAGATATAGGTTAACAGTGTGACAGGTATGGAGAGGATTGATACTGCTTGCCTTTTCTGACTCTAGGATCTTGTCGATTTTATTGTTCTCTTCGAGAATCAAGTTGAATCATTGATATTTTCTTTGAAAATATGAAAGGAAGTGGAATTTTCTAAATTATCTGGGGTGTAAGACCATACTTCTTGCAGTTAACTAGCTGAAAACCTTTGGTATCTTCCCTGATCAAAACCTTTTATTACATCGAATTATGTTGTGTTTGTGCCTTGAATTCTTTATTGTGACCCACTTCGTGACCCTCTCCAAAACAAGATGAGAAAAACCTGCAGTGGTATGAACCTGATCCATATGCAGCTTATGGGTCCGACCCGATTACGATGTGTTATGTTGTTTGGGGCTTTTCTCTTTTATATATCTTGGGCTTTGAAGAGAAGTCAAGTGAGAGAAATTGGCTGTATTGGGGTTTAGGGTTTCTGTGAGAGAGGTTTTGCACAACTTTGTAATCGCCATTGCTGTTTTTATAGTGGATTTCTGCTCCTTCTCCCATGGACATAGGCTACAAGACAAACCACATAAATCCGTGTGTGCTCTGTTTCTAGTTTCTCTTTATCTCTATTTTATTTCATTTTTGTGCCATTCAAATCTGTATTTTCTGGGTTTTGCATAACAAATTATAATTATGTTAATGAATTTGCATGCATTTTCAACAGTGATCTTTGGAAAAGTAGTATTTAGGTGTTTTTTACTTATGACAAGAAGATCAAATTGAGCCTCTCTCTACTTTGTTGTCAATTAGTCATGTCTAGCATTCGGGGTTTGGGAAAGAAGGTCAAAGAATCCATAGTTCTTCCTAAGTTCTTTGCTTAAAGTGGAGAAAGTTGACATATTGTAGTTTAGTTATTCACTGGTATGTTTTTGAGATGTTTTGATATGGTTCCTTCACCTTATATGCTTCATCATAAATTCAATCAGTGCAGATTCTGATTTGCGGTTGGCAAGGAGGATCCAACGTGATACTATTGAAAGAGGCAGAGACATTCGAACTGTGCTGGACCAAGTGAGTGGGTTATCTTGCTTTTTGATGATTAGGTGATATTAGCAAAGTTTTCTTACTACTTATATCGCATTTTTCTTTTGGTGTAGGAAATGTTCTTTTATCTTATTAGCAATGTTAGAATCTGGTGTTTTCCCAATTTTGTATCTTCTTAATCTATTGGAAAAAAAATGCAGAACATTGGCCATTACCCAATGATAGTTCTGGCTATCTGGGGCTCTTGGGAGGGGTAGACTGGATATAAACATAACTTTTAGAAGAAAAATGGAATGCATTATAAACCACAAATGAAAGAAATATCTGCAAGCATTGTTAGAGTGCCTCATTTAAATAAGATTCTTATGGACGAAGGATCTGGTAGATGGAAGCATTTCAGTCATTGAAGGAGCAAAAATAACAATAAGTTGATATGAGGATATGTTTCCAGATGTGGCTTTTTCGTCCATGCTACAAGACCCACAAAATTGAAAATTCATGTTTCCTAAAATTAGGGTGGGTTCATCACTGAAGCGTGCAACAAGAACATACTAGAAATCTCTTTAAGATCTATGTGCCCAATAAAGAAAAGCAAACAATTGGGTTTGAGATTCTAAATCAGACTGTGCTCCCCTATATTAGATGTGTTTTTTGGCTTCTTTTCAGCAAGGTAAGAATTCTAGATAAATGGTGGATCTCTTTTGCTTTTTCTTTGGGGGTTTTTTGTAAGCCGTGTGGAATAAATAATTTGAATTTTTTCAAGCATTTGAAAATTTACAACATTATATAATTGGGTTTTCTTTCTAATATTAACACCTTTCTTAGTTCATTGACTTTATTAGGAATTATATTATTTGTTGTCCATTTTTTTAGTTGGGTTATTGTCCGTTGTCATAGTTTTATGTTGAAAAAAGATGTCTCATATGTTTGATACTGTGATTTTGATGACATGCATTCACATATATTCCTTTTGACATGTAATATGTGTCTCAAATGATGTATTTGTTTTACCTTGAACCTTTGTTCCTAGTAAGCTCATCATGTATAACCAATATTGTTATGTTACATATATATTGTTTCACCAACCTTTATTCCATGATCTGCAGTATTCAAAATTTGTCAAGCCTAGTTTTGAGGAGTTCATTCTTCCATCAAAGAAATATGCAGATATCATCATCCCTCGAGGAGGAGATAATGATGTTGCAGTTGACTTGATCGTGCAGCACATTCGTACAAAATTTGGTCAGCATGACCTATGTAAAATATATCCAAATGTTTTTATTATTCATTCAACATTCCAGGTAGGACTCAGCTTCATTTGGTATGACTGATGCATCTCTGTCCCCTTATAAAGAGTTTCTGTTGATTATATTATTGACTAGAGTTATTGAATTCTAGATGCTCTATGGTATATAATTAACTGTGCAATATTCTGAATTCCATAGTTCAAGAAGTAAACAAAAAAATTAAAGTTTAAAAATCCACCATGCCTTATTATAAAAAAAGAGAAAAAAGTCCATCATGTCTTAATAAATTTCCTTGCTTGTTCCAGATACGTGGAATGCACACACTTATACGTGATGTTAATTCAACAACGCATGACTTTGTCTTTTATGCAGACCGCCTAATTCGCTTGGTATAACAGTTTTGAGAAGAAGAGTATTAAAAAATGAAATGTATTTTTTCCTTGAGCTGGCGCAGTTAGATGATGATTCTAAATGGTTGGTTTAGGTTGTGGAGCATGGCCTAGGTCACCTTCCATTTACTGAAAAACAGATTATCACACCGACAGGTAACTACGAAATGTCATTTGCTACATGTACCACCTATCAGAGATGGATGGGCACTGTATGTTTCTAGCATTTACCTTAGCATACTATCATTTCACTTTATCTTTCTCTTCATCTCTGTGAACATCTGAAAGAGTTTTTTCCAATTCTTTTCTCCTTTGCATCAAGGTGTTTCTGCCAATACGAAGGTGTACCATACTTCATATATAAAGCAAACAGGTTGAGTTTTGAATGCATGAAGTCATCAATTACAATAATTACTAGTCAAAATCAATGTTTTAAAACCTAATCCACATGCTGAACCAATCTCTAGATGAATGGGTCACCAGTTCAACTATCCAAGTCAATGATCAACCCTTTTTACAGCAACAAAAAGTTTTCAGAGAGAAGATAATATAAAAACTGGAGACCTGGTTAACAGGTCAAATGGCTCAATGGTTCAACCATCAAGGTCAGCAGGTTGTTGACCAAGTCAATGATCACCAGGTTGCCAGTCCAACTGGCCAAATCAACAACAGGTTGAAAACATTAGTCAAAACCTATGCTAAATTCATGTTGATGCTACTTGTCTGCTTGCAAATGCTGGACTGATTGGACCACTAATAGTCACTTGATATTAGTAGATGTAAATCAGTCCTCTAATATCAAGATTAAACTTAGTGATTAGCAGAATAAAACAGATCTGAATAGCTGTACAAGAGAAGAAGATGGCGAAGAGAAGACGGAGTCTTATTATTCTCCATTCTCCTCTAACCCTATTTTATTAAGATCTAAAAGTTTGATGATGACAAGAATGCCCTTAAGTGGGCGGCCAGCTTGGCAGTTACATAAAGAAAATAAAACAAGAATAAATAACAGGCCCATTAAGTGTGGCTCATCAACATAAAATAAAAGATATTACAAGAGTGGCTGTTAGGGCCCATTCGGCCCAGTCTCTTTACATTAGTGAGTACTAAACTCAATTCTGTAATGCCTTGTTCTGATATATGGAGTTGTGAGATGCATACTGTTTTTATTCCACTCTCTAAAGGTCAAGGCCATATCATTGGGTAAATTATAGGTATCATATTTCTCTACCACTCAACCCACATCTTTCTGTGGCTCTTCTAGAACTCACAACTTGCACTGGATTGCTTCTTATTGGTGCATTTGGCAGTCTTTGGCTCTTTTCCATCATTTGGTCACATATTGGAGCTATATCTAGATTCCTAGACATGCATTCACTTTCCACTTGTATATCTCAACTAGTAATGCCAATGAGTACCTGATACCTGCATAACTGATGGACCTGAAACTGGCAAAAGGGACCTGGATCTAACATTGGGACCCATTTACTGGTTCCAGGTCTGGAATACTTGCTAGAGGTCAGGCTCAGGAGCCAAGGTATCTGCCAAGTGTTGGACATATCTAGGTTTCATTTTGTGATATTTGAACAAAAATAATTAATGAGTAGTACTTCCAAAACCTTTTCTCCATGATTGAGTTATCAAATTCAGTGTTTAAGATAGTAGTTTTCATTTTTTCAAGCATCAGGTGTTTGACAGATCAGGTCAGGAGCCAGTTGTTGTAGCTTCAAACCCTTACAGCAAGACTGGACTTGGTATACGTAATAGGATTTGGGCCTGGGTTTGCCTGGACCCAGCTCACTGACCCAACCCCATTGACACCTCTACTCTCAACTTCCTCATCTCCACTAAACTTGATTTGTGGATGTATTTTTCTTGATTTCCCAACATACCACTCCATACATCATCATTGTTCTGATCATAATCTTATAAAACTTACCTATAATTTGATAATAAGTCCAGATGTATTTATTGATTTCATCCACGCAACCTAATTCTATGGATGAGATCCTCTTCAATCTACCTCTCTATGTATTACCAAAACCAAGGAGTAGAAATGGCCAACTTGAATTAACTCTTACTCAGCAATTCTAATTTTATCACCATTTGTACTCAATTTGAGTGAGTATGTTGGATATTATTAATGCGGCAATAGGAACTGCACACTTTAATGACAAAATTGTTAGATGAAAAATCAGACAATTTGTTCATCTGATATGCAGTTGTTAGCTTCTTCAATATCATTGTTAAATTCTTATCCCTTAATTCTCATGATATCACATGAATATTGATGCCGGAGAGTCACGCTGCTCCTTTAGTTGGTCCCAAAATTTATCTTGAACAGAGGAAACTGCTGGGCTACCTGGATATGGCAAGGGCATTGCTGGATATGGTATCAAACACAAAATTTACACTAAAAAATGAAGCATCTGCATTCTGCTATAACACAGCACCCTTGAACAGAAACCGTACCTTCTTTTTTCTCTTCAAAAAGACCATTTTCTTCTTGAGTTTCTCAGCTTGCTTCAGGTAGCAAGAACAAAGTTCTAGTTTTAACTTTAAAACAACAGAAGGCTATGGAAGCTTCATTAAAATTGATCCCACTGCCAATTCTATTGGAGAAAACTTTCATTTAAATTTTGAATCCTCTGGTTTCTCCATTTTCCAAGGCTGTGCAGAGATTGTACAACTACCTGGACCAAGTTATAATTTGCAAAGATAAAGTAATCAATTGAACCAATATCAAAAATAGAAGGAAAGCTATATAACCCGTATTGGATATAGAACTAAAATATCAAGGACTTGGTTTATTTACGTACATAAGTTCTGATCCATTCCAAAGTTTTGAAATTGAATTTAAAATATCTAGTTTAGATGGATATTTATTTGGAACCATATATAACAGTACTTTGACTTGTCTCTTTTACTTGCTGCAGGATCTGTGTATAGTGGTGTTGTTTTCTGTAAAAGATTATGTGGAGTTTCAATAATTAGAAGGTACATGATCTAGTGCTTTATTTTGTAGGATCTCCAACATATTGGCACAACAAAAATAAATTAGTTAAAACAGTTTGACATTTTAATAGGTTCCGACATCTTAATGTCCTCTGTAACATCTAAAAGGTTCCAAGTATACATCTTCTCTTTTCTCATATAAATCTTCCTTTCAATGCTCTCAGTAAGGGTGTTTGCAATCCATGAGCAATCCGTAAGTAGGGGCAAAGGTATTGAGTTACTGGATAATAAATCATTGTGTGTGATTTTTACTCCCTATAGTCTTACTCAAGCAATTCCTGTTATTTTTTTCCATGTACGAGGAATTGTTAATGCCCATTATCTTGAATTGGAACAGGAATGGTAATTCTTCTATTAAATAGTAGGAACAAAGATAGAATTCTTCCCACCTATTGCTTTTAATTGCCCACATTAAGGGCATTTCTATCTTTTGACATGAGATTAGTGGAAGATATTTTAGCAATTGCACACCCCTTACATGGAATAAGCGAGTAGATCTCTATTCCTATTAGTATGTTTCGCATTCCTCATCAACTATCATTTTTCTTGTTGCTTGACATGTCTGGTTTGTGAACAGTGGGGAAAGCATGGAGAATGCATTGAGAGCATGTTGTAAAGGGATCAAAATTGGTAAAATCCTCATCCATGGAGAGGGTAACAATGGCCCACGGGTTCGTGGAGAGGACTAGATGTCCCATATACCATTCTCTTTTATCCTGCTTTCGGAGGGTTTTCTCATATTGCTACTAACATTATTGCAGCTGATGTACGAGAAATTGCCAGAGGATATTGCAAGCCGTCATGTTTTATTGCTCGACCCAATTCTGGCTTCAGGTTTGAACACATACATATCACCACAGTTCCATTATCTAAAGATGGACTAAAAAGGCCTGCAATCAATTAGGGAATTCTTCTGTCCAAGCCATTTCACTTCTAGTGAGCAAGGGTGTCCCAGAGTCCAACATCATTTTTCTGAATCTTGTAGCGGTAAGTCACATTGGTTTCTTGCTTCTTGGGTGCCACAGTCATGAAAATCAAAGCATGAATGCATGATCTTCTCTTATTGGTTCCTGAAGGTTTAACTTTACAACCATTTTTACAGACTCCTGAAGGGATACATACTGTTTGCAAGAAATTTCCAGAACTGAAGATTGTGACATCAGAGATCGACGTATCACTGGACGATGACTTGCGTGTCATTCCGGGCATGGGGGAATTCGGGGATCGTTACTTTGGCACAGACGAAATGCCACGACAGCCATGAAATATCAGTATAAGAAACCGTTAAAAACACCATTGCTCAATAACTGTCGCTTTTCTTGGGATAAAAGTTTTGGGGGAAATTGTAGCGTCTTTAAACTCACATGACTTTTCACCGTTAGCGGCGTACATTTACAGAAGTTATCAATATCAGCATAAATGTAAAACATTCAAACTCACCATCCGTCACATCACCGTTAGCGTACATTTACAGAAATTGTCATTATCAGCATAAATGTAATTTTTATGACCAAATTACCCCTAAACGGCGAATCAGCCTTATTAAACATATTTTTATGATTAAAATGCCCTTAAATGCCCAATTGCCTTGCGTATTATACTTGTTGAGAAACGTTTTACTGTCATTGTATTATTTGAAAGTATTCCAAAAAAGCTTAAAACTAGGTTTTGAGTCGAATAATAACAGGGACATTTCTGAAATATTGAAAAATGGGCCAAATATAACCTATGAAGCTACGACATGCGTTCCCTAAACCTATTAGTCTGTTTAATGTCAAGTTAATGACATGCTTTCACTAAGGCCATGTTTGTTGCATTGCTCTGGTTCATTTTCTTAATTATTGTTCATTTTAGGTAAGAATGGGCAAGCATTTTTATTTCATAATTAGTGTTTAGATACAAAATTCTTGACAAGGGCTACATTTTTTGAGGAAATTCTACCTATAAGACTGTTGCTATGGATGTTTATTTTTGCGAAAGCATTTTTATAAAAGCATTTTTACGAAAGTACTTTTATGAAAGTACTTTTATGAAAGCACTTTTATGAAAGCATTTTTACGAAAGTACTTTTATATATGAAAATACTTACGAAAGCACTTTTATGAAAGCATTTTTACGAAAACATTTTTATGAAAGCACTTTTACAAAAGCACTTTTGTAAAAGTACTTTTGTGGAAATACTTTTATGAAAGTACTTTTACGAAATCACTTTTACGAAAGTACGAAAATACTTTTATTAGTACTTTTACAAAATCACTTTTATGAAAACACTTTTGCAAAAGTACTTTTACGGAAGTGCTTTTATGAAAGTACAAAAGCATTTTTACAAAAATACTTTTATAAAAGCATTTTACGAATTTACTTTTACAAAACATCTATGCCAATTGGTAAACATCAACTATTGGAGACCTAGGCTAGCAGTTTGTGAATAACGACACAATTTTTTTTTTTTTGAAGAATGAAAATGAGGCAACTAGGGCACTTTTAAGTATAAAAAGAATTCATTTTTAAGAAAAAGGTGTTTGGTTCATAACAATATTTTTTCATTCTGTCTATTTTTATCTATTCTTTTCTATCTTAAACTTTCATCTAGGTAAGAATAAGAATTGAACCAAACATCGCCTAACGTTTTGAAAAGTTATAGCGTGAGCTATAGCGGAAATGGGCCGTCTGATATGCGTGTTTGGATGCACGTTTAATTGGAATGCATCACCGATCACTACTTCCTATTTTGTTTATTGTGCTTTTTTTGGCGGGGGGGTAAGTTTTATTACTAAGTAATCTATTAATTAATATTTAATAATTGGGATTTGTGAAAATAGTCTACTAATTAATCATCCACTTTGGATGGTTCATGGGATGCGAGTAGACCGAAGAAAAGTGCAACGCCACCGTGCATGCACATTCTATGGCTGCTAGAAGGTCAAAGGTCAAAAAGGAACGAATCTTGGGGCTGGTCCCATGACTTAGCTGGGCGACTCATGTGTACCCAACGACCCATATATATCATGGTCATTATTTTTATTACAATAATTTGTTATATATATTGTTATTATCATTATTATAAAATTTTGCAATAAATAATCAAGACTTTTTATACATTAATTTTAAAGGGATTATCAAAAAATAATAATCTTAAATTAGAGGAGCGTATCTTTCTTTGTAGCCTTCAGGCAAAGGACTTCATTAATGTTCTTTAGGCTCAGTTTGGAAGGAGTACAGATACAAATTTGTAGAGTGTAAAATCTTACATTTTATATTATTTTGTATGTATTTGTACAATACATATTTGTATTTATACTTCTTCCAAATTGAGCCTTAGTGGAAATATGGGAATTCAAGGCCTCCAGAAAGAGGAGATGACCGCCCAAGTAAAAAGATTCAGCTAATGACAAAGCAAGTGTGACCGATTTACAAGTCACTTTATTATAAGACTTTTGCACAAAAACCATGGTTTTCAAAACCAGACCGGATAGTCGGACCAGAAAAACCGGGAATTGGTCACTTGACCGGTTATGTTTTTCCCCAAAACCGTTTTTTCCCCAAAATCATTGATTTTGGTCAGCAAACCGTTGAACCGGCCGGTTAACCGTTCGAATGGTTTTGACCATTTTTCAAATTTTAATTTTTTTTATTTTTTTTGTTAGAATGAGCCGACTATTCGAACCAGTAACTGGACCCCTGACCGGTTCGGTTTTAAAAACCATGACAAAGACCACAAATAGTTGGAGAAATGCAACATCCAACAAAGAATCTATGACAATTTTAGCATCTCCCTAAAGAACAATGGAATTAAACTTCATTTGCAAAGCCAACAACATAGCTTCTCAAAGAGCAAGATCTTTACACTCTATAGGGGAGCAAAGAGACAAATTTATGGATTTGCAATGATACAACATCCTATATGATTTAGGATATGTTGGATTTTAATCTTATTAGAGATTAAATCCAATGGGTTTGATTGGTCAATTACATGAGAAATTGCACCTGCACACTTGTTTTAGAAAATAACTTTTCTCTTACTAAAACCAGTTTTGGAGATATCCCACATTGGATATTTACAAGTTTTGTTTTAGGTTTTTTAATAGGAGTTGATTTACACTCCTTAAAAATAGAAGAGGAGCGTATGGAGACTTGATATTACGCAATGCGCGTGCATGCATGTGCACGTGTGTGTGCAGCGCAATGAGGCACTTTAGAGGCGCACTTTGCTTGCACTCGTGTGGCTCGCGAAGGGCGGCTTTGGTTTTGGTGCGATGTTGATCGTTGATCACTGTGGATGTGATCAACAGTCATGATTCAATCAGGTGTGATCAAGAGGCACAATTCAAAGTTAACAGCCATTAATTGTTAACTACCTTTTAAACAGTTACAATTCAAGGAACCTACTCTGAACTAGCACCTACCTTTTCTTCATAACTCTTCAGAAACTATTTAAGGGGCATGAACCAGACATCTCACACACAACAATTTCGAAATTCACTCACTCACTCTCTCTCTCTCAGTTAGGTCTGTTACAATCTCATAGAAGGTTTCGTCGGAGACTCTTCAACTTTGCTGGTTGCAGATTCTCGCCCAAAGCTCTATTGTATCATGGGAATGGATTTTCCTGTAACCCAACAACAAATTCAGTGAAAACTGAGTGGAGGCAAATAACGTTCTAGACAGTGTCTTTAGACGTGCCTCAGAGCTTCTCCTCCAAAGTTTCAATGACTCCATTTCCCAACAGGATCACTACATATGCTCTTACATGAGAAGAATTAACAACCTCATTAAAGTTTATTTACAACCAAGGAGGGAAAAGTCAAGTATTAGGTTGGCGTTCTGACTATGGAAGGATCCATTTTGGTTCAACATTCAACATAAAAATTTTGGTCCCGAAAAACAACACAAATTGAATTAATAATAAAACACGAGTCAAAGGGAAAGTTTTCCGTTGCCAATTTGCATCTTGCTTTCTAAGTATATGTTTGGCATCAATGCTGCAATTCAGAAAATGGTGCTGCTGATGTGTGGGTTGGAAGCACCGTTTTTTGAGAAAATGATGTATTTCTTTTGTTTGGAAACGTTGCTGTCATGTAGAACGTTTCCTGGAGAAACAACAACACTTTCTATTTGGTACTAGTGCTTCATGTATGTTTTCAGCATTGGTATCCAATATAGGAAGTCTACATCACTGCCACATCACGTCCTCGTTGGTAGCAATGAGCTGCAATCTGAAAAAATGCCAAATTTGGCGTTGCTCCAAACCATGCCTTTTTTATTTTCAATGCATGGCTTGAAGCACCATTTTTTATGGAAAAATGGTTTCAAACAAACAGACATTACCTAGAGCACTATTTTTTTCTGGCATGGTGCTGATGTATCACCATTTTTTGGAGCAATGACATCGATGCCAAACAAACGCTAAATGGTCCAAATAACTATTGCAATCCAAACCAAATGTGTTGAACAATTGAGCAGTGAAGTAAAAGGTGCAATAGTGTCTTCTTTCCAAGATTAGAAGTGCTATCAATACTCACACTTCTCTTGATAAGCTGTAATTTAATTGAAACACAATTGTCGATGCAATTCCATAAAAACGGATGCATTTAGGGAGTGATGTTTGTGAAGCGCTAGAACTGCCTCAATGAATACCTCCAAAAGTTACCGAAAACTATAGAAGTTTGGGGATGTTCAACTGCAAGCATTTTACAAGCTGAATAGGTTGAAAAACGCCCATGTGGCATTAGTTTCCAAATGAGACGATTTGGGTAATGGTTAGCTTATATAGGTAAGGTTATGTGGGTAATGGCATTGAAATCAGAGATGGAAAATGAGAGCGAATTGCATTAGAATTTGAACTAATTGTCTAATAAAGATGCAACCTTATCCGAATAAATAACATGAACGTTTCGTAGTCTAACTGGGCTCCAACCTTCTATCCAAGAATCTTCTCTAGCACTTCATAGCTCCTCTTTTGTTCACATTCCATAATGATTTTCCATGCTTAATGTATTTAGTTGTTAGGACTTGGGCCCACAATTGATCATATGTCAAGTAACACCATAGTAATTTCATTATGAGAGTTGTATTAAGGATTTTTATGTCTTTGAAGCTCATTTCACCATCCTCCTTAAGCTCAATTTGGAAAGCGTACACATATAAATATGTGCAGTATAAATATATACAAAATATAATGTTTTGCACTCTACATATTTGTATTTGTACTCTTTTCAAACTGAGTTTTACCACTCATTAGTGCCTTCCATTTTTTCAAGTAGATGAAGTTTTTCTTATCTACACAACCCCACCAATAATATCGACATAAGGCATTAAATTTGTTGGCATGATGTTGAGAGATTTAAAAGGTAGAAATAGTGTAAATAGGGATAAGGGTGCAACTTGGGTGAATACAACTTGAGTTCATATCAATCCAACTTGAAATTTTACATAAGTT